AAGATCAGTGGAAGTGCTCTGCTGGTCAAACTAAAATTGGAAGCAAAATAGAAAGTCAGATCCTATCTTTATTTAAAATGTTATTTGGTTCATCATTTTTTTGCATTAATTTTGATTTAAAAAGTAATCTTAATTACTAAAATTTTTGGTGCCCCCTTACATTTTGTGTTGAGGTGAGTGCCTCACTGGCCTCACTTTAGTTCTGGTCCTGACCCAAACAGTTGTTACATGAGGCAAATCTATAATGAAAAAAAATTTTTTTCACTCATTCTCTAATATCATCCCCACCTGAAAAAAGAAGAATGAAAATTTTGCATCATATGTTCTTTCCTCTATCTGGAAAACATTTACATAGCCTTCAGTGCCCTCTGTCACTCCAGCAGACTGAGGAATCCAAGGCAGGGTAAGGTGACCATTTGGCCAATGGCATCACAAAGTAAATAGTGCTCTTGCCCTGGCTGGTGTAGCTCAGTGGATTGAGCACGGGCCTGCAAACCAGACAATGGCGGTTTGATTCCCAGTCAGGGCACATGTCTGGGTTGCAGACTGGTTCCCTGCAGGCCAGTTCCCAGCAGGGTGCGCATGAAAGGCAACCATACATTGATATTTCTCTCCCTCTCTCCTTCCCTTCCCCTCTAAAGATAAATAAAATAAAATACTTCTTAAAAAAATAATAATAATAATTTAAAAAAAAAAAAAAAGAGTGCTCTTGCCAGGTCTGGGGTCAGCTTTAGTCCTCAGAGCAAACATTTTGAAGGCATAAAATTTTCTCACTTTGGGAAAAGTCTGTACCAGAGGCCTCAGAGACAGGGACTTCTGAAGGAAGGTGCTCTGGGGCCCTTAGGCCTCAGGGAGTTACTTCTCTGAGTCAGGAAGCTGCCCTCAGACAATACTGGTCCCTGTGGGGAATGGGTGAGGAAGGGATGGTGTGGATTTAAGATATGAACAGTTGCATTGTGGTACTATGCTCTTGGAGCTTTGTCACTTACCTTTCTTCTCTGGGAGGCAACAGGTACTCTGCACCTGAATCTCGTGACTTGGCTGGGACTCAGCATCTGGCTTTGAACAAATCACTGAATTCTTGGGAATCTCAGTTTACTTAGTCTAAATGGGAGCAATAGCACCAGCCACCCAAAGCTGATATGAAAATTAAAGAGGGTCATGAGGAAGTGCCAACCATAGAAGGGGCTAAACTAGCAATGTGAATCTCAACGTGAATTTTTATTTTCTCTGGAAAATATCACACAAGCAATCTTGACAGACTTTGCATCCTTTCCTTAGGTGGAGACAAAAGGGGATTCTATGGAAGTTAACCTTACAAGGTGATCTGATCATAAATTCCTGAGTAGGTAATGGTGGGTAGTCACTCCCCAAGAATTTAACTTCTTTAAAAAAAAAAAAAAAAGATTGTGTTTGTTTACTTTTTTCTGTTATCTCCAATGTATTCTTTTTATTGTTGTTCAATTACAGTTGTCTGCATTTTCTTCCCACCACTCCCCCAAGCCAAACCCACCTCCCTCCCTTGCTTCCACCCTCCCCCTTGGTTTTGTCCCTGTGCCCTTTATAAGTAGTTCCTGAAAACCCCTCCCCACATTGTCCCCTCCCTCCTTCCCTCTGGCTATTGTTAGATTGTTCTTAATTTTAATGTCTCTAGTTACATTTTGTTTGCTTTTTAATTTTGTTAATTAGGAATATAACTTCTTCAGAGAAAGATTTTTTAAAGCCAGCCATGTCCCTTGTTCTTGGGCATCTAGACTAATGCACCTTTGAGATGCCTGAAGGATAACTACCTTTAGCAAAGCACATAATCTTGTTAACTATCCTTTAATCCAATCCCCATCTTGCTTTCTCCCACCTCCAAGTAATCTACCTTACTTTCCTTCCTAATTTCAAATGCAGAAAAGAAGCTGCAAAACTGTTATTCTTGAGAGCATTCGAGATCTTGTTCCCTGGTGTAGGTCTTCAGTTTGACCCATACTCATGAAAATTCTCTACAGGTTTGGATTTTTTTTTCATTGATGCTTACCTACAGAGCTTTTTAAAGATAGATGTGTGTTCTCTATGTTCTCTCTCAATTCCTTGACCCTCAAACTTAGTTGATTACAAAACCTTGTTGATTTTATCTCTTTAGGAGCTGCTGCTCAGTATCCCCTTTTCTATACTCACTGCCACAAGGCCCTGCCTCATCTACAGCCCATTTTCACTGCCTTTTTGGCATCTTCCAGGCAGATACTGAGCCTGGGTCTCTCCTTGGAAGTCTCAGGGTGCACTCTTCATTCACCGGCATAGCCTGATGGCTGTCCCTGATATTGGAACCCTTTTTAATGAGCACCTGGCATATTTACCAGCCTTCTTTGCACCAGGTTCTAGATGTGAGCTGAATTACTAGATGTGATCTGTGCTTTATTCCTTCAAAGGTGCACTCATGCCTGCCCACTTTCTTCCCTCTGGTTGGCTGGAACAAGGATGCAGTGGCAGGAGCTAGAGCAACCATTTTGAATGATGGATTGGAACCCTCATGCTCCAGGCTACAGACTCTAGATTCAAGGAGGGTGAAAGATAGAGAAAAAAGTGGGTTGCCTCCTCCCTGCCAGCCTCCATCTTGGTCATGGCTGTGTCCTCTGTCTGAAGCCGCAGCCTGACAAGTGCCACCCCTCTCACAGGGCAGTGCTCTCCGAATTCAATGATGTGTCCTCCAGCCACGGCCCCCCACTGTGACCTGAGACTGGATATTAAGAAGCTAAGAAAATTCCCTGGCAAGTGGAATAGGGTAAGTAAGATAACTGAACACAAGGGCTGAACAATTTACAACCAGATACAAAAGGTCACCTCCCTAGAGATAACATCTAGGTTTCAGTTGTGTTTCAGCTCCAGGCCCAGAAAATCAGCAAAGCCAGGTGGGCTATACCAGAACCAACTGCAATGACTAAAGACCCCCTGCCACTGACCAATCAGAGGAGACCATGACCCTGAAAGGGCACACCCAGAGAACTGATGAATATTATACTGAAATCCTCCCCTGAGACCTCCCCTAAGGTTCCTGCCTGCAAAAAAGAGATAAAAACCTCAAGACAAAGGACCCAACATGAATGCATGTGCTCTTCCTGTCAGTAGCGTCTGGAGCCATACTTTTTCCTTTCTTCTCTCTGCCCCCATCCCCCTCTCCACAGGCAATGACCAGCTGGCAGCTCATCTTAAGCTCATCCCCTGTACCTGTCTTCCAGGACCCTTTTCTCTGACTTCCCAGTGAGTTAAGGCAGCTCAGCCTAGGCTCTCTTCTTGCTTCTTCTATGCTAAGCCCTTCTTGCCACCCTCAGCAGGCCTGAGAGAAAATGTATTGATAAAACTTACTTATCCACTTTTGTCTCATTGATCTTTAATTCTTTACTGTGTTGGTGAGAATAAATAAGCCTCCAGTAACACATCTACCCCATGGATTCCCTTCACCACCCTGTCCTTGTTTGGGTGCTTCTGAGGGTACCCTAGGTTTCCTCCATTCATCCTGAAAGTCCCAGTTCTGAGACCAAATTCCACCCTCAAATCTTGCCTTGAGCCCCCTTGAGCTCCCCATTCCCACTTATTTCCCTATTTTCCCACAGGGCCAACTCTGGAGAGCATGCTTAGCTTGCTGGGCTGGCCCCACTGTGTGCTCTGTCTCATTTCTTGACCCTCCACTGTTAGATGCTGAAGTGGTAGGTTTGTGTCACTCTGTCTTCATTCTGTGGGGCAGTCCCTGGCCCAGGCATGGTGCCTGGCAGGCACATCAAGGATGTTCAGTGGGGATTTTATGATAGTACCAAATGCTCATGAGGCAGGGAAGCCAGGTTTGATCAGGCTCAGGGTATAATTTGGTTAGGTGTAAGAAGAAAGGGAAAGCCTGGGTGGGGCCGACTCTATCCTTCAGGTATACAGCCATTGGAGGGTCCTCTGCACAGAGGGCAGGCCCAACTCCAGTCATGCCCACGGAACCTGTTCCATGTATGTAGAGTCCAGTGGAGAACAAATATGTGGGGAACTTATTCAGAAATGATTGAGAATTTCAAGACAGCAGTGGCAGAGCAATAAGCAAAACATGGGGGCCTTTCTAAGTATGAGCCCCTGAGCAATTGATTGCACATGTTGCACATGCATGAAATTGGTCCCAGTGCCAAACTCAGTGCCTGTCTCAGAGATGGCATTTCTTCCTTTCGCCTTCCTTCCCTCCCTCCTCTATACCCCCTCTCTTATTTACTCATTCACTTTCTTCCCCCCATTCCCTCCCATCCTTACTGAACAGGCATTTTATAGGGGATCTCCTGGAAATCAGACAGAGAGCTAAAGTAAGGATGCACACCCCTGCAGCTTATTCCAGTGGTGGGGACAGAGGGCTACTGAGTAGACAAGCAGAACAAGCAGCAGTTTGCTGGAGGAGGAGAAGGCAGGGCAGGACCTGGGTTGGTGGGGTGACTTTTGACAGGGTGGTCAGGAAAGGCTTCGTGAATAATGTAGCAAAGGATATGAGAGAAAGGACAAAGGCAGGGTGACCAGCTGTCAGGCCAGAGGGAAATCAAAGCAGAGGTGACAGGATTTACTGCTGGGCAAGTGTAGTATGGGGCCAAGATGAGTGGAGCGTGCTGTCCAGAGCTTTGGCCTGAATAGCAGAAGAGCTGGGGTACCCTGTGCTGAGATGAATGAGGCACAGATGGAATCAGTGTGGCAGTGAAGATCAGAGCTTGTTTCTGGAGATATTCAGGTATCCATGTGGCATTGTGGAGGAAGCAGTTGGTCCAGAGCTGAGGACGGCTCTGCTCCTCTGGTATGTAGCGTGGCCAGGTCTACAATGTAACAGAATGCATACCCAATCTGCTCCTGGGGCAGAAGTTTCTGAGTGTATACGACAGAAAGTCAAGTCCATACACATGGGTTTGTATCAGATGACTGGCTCAGCACAGGCTCTCAGTTCTGCTCTCTCTGTGGGGCATGTTGTAGTCTTGGATCAGACAGACAGACAGAAAACACCATTAAAAAACATCTGGTTTATTAGGATTAGCTGTGGCATATTGATTACTTTAATAGTTCTAAACTGATACATGTTTCCCCACTAACAGCATACATTAAGGTGTGTGTTGAGCTGCAGTGACAAAAGCAAACAGGTGAATTGTTTAGAAAATCATTGTGATCCTAATGGGTTTATATTAGCAGTGGTGAGAGAAAGAAAAAATCTTGCTACAGGGTGCTGAGCAGAGCAAGGTGGGTGTCCAGAGCACCTTTCTGTGCTCTTGCCATGACCCCCAGTCCTCCCTCTAGAAACTGAGGGGGAAGCTGGGGTCTGTGCTCGGTGGAAGGGAGGCTGCCCATTCCCTGCAAAAGAATGGGGTCCTTTGGGACTTGGAACCCCCATACTGGCTACAAGTGACATCTTTGCTTAGAAAGATTTTCCGGCATGAAACCCATTTCTGTATGGGCCAGCATGACCTCTGGGGTACAGGGAGAGGTGTGTTCACATCAGTGCTTGGGTATAGTATCCTGTTGTGTTTATCCCTCCAGGTGAGTTTGGATCAGCTGCATCTCTGGGGTCTCTTCCCTAGCTAGCCTATGCCCTCCTCTCACCTCTTTCAAGGCCAGGCTGTATGTGAGACCTACTATCCCTTCCAAACCCAGTTCATCTGCCCTGCTCCCATGGCACCACTTTGAAGCTTCAGATGTCAGTGCAGAGCTGTCAACTTTGAGAATGAACTCAATTGGAGACCCACATAGTTGGAGTACCTCAGGTAAGATTCCAGACACAGCTGATGTTTGGCTCCTGAGCTCCCTCCTCATTCATTTCAAATATTTTTTTTCTTTTTTTAAGATAGGTGATTCTTTAACCAGATGTGTAAATGTGATTGAATTTGTCTCTGTAAGAACATTCATATAAATAAATTCACACATCTAAAAGATTAGTGGTTAAACCATGTGCCTGATATTTAATTTGGGAAATGCTTTTGTGGTCACCTGCTTATGGGAGAGGTAGGGTAGCAATAGAGTGGGTGGGAGGTGTGGGGATTTTATGTGATAGGAGCTGTCACAGCTCTGGCAAGAATTCCAGGTCTGGGCTCAGGAGGGTTTTGTGGGTTTGAGAGTTTGCAATGTAGTTTCTGCTTTTCCTTAGCTGAGGAGCACCAACATTCACATGGCTGCCCAGCTGAACAGACACCCACCTTGTCTCTCAGTGCATTTCTTGCATTTTTCTCCCTCAAAGAGAAGCCAGAGAAATAAGACAGGGCAATGGAAGCCACTGTTTTCCATGAAAGCCAGTTTTGTGGGGGAACTGGGGCCCTGCCCCCAGGGTGTAGGTACTTGGGTACTTTGCCTCTCCTGAGGGGCAGGGGCATGAGAACAGAAACCTGGACCCTGGGCAAGCAAGCATGACCAGACTGCTCATTGAAAGGGGACTAATTCTAGCTCTGCCATGGTGTAGGCAGGACCTTGGAGGGAGGGCAGAAATGGGTCCCCTCCTTGAGGACTGGAAAAAGGCCTAAAAGAATAAGATATGGATAAGGGGCAGCAGTTCCACTGCTAGAGGAAGAGGAGCAAGAGACCCAACTCCTAGAGTCAGAGGCCCTGGCAGGGAATCTACTGCCTCTTCTCTGTAGCCTGGAGGTCCTTCCTGCCTGCACCTTCCATGGGAGTCAACACTGAGCAACTGCCTCCCAGTGGCTACCTCCACAGCATGGTCATAGTTATACTAAGTAGCCTTGTGAGGTCACAGCAAGTCTGATTGAAAGTGAAGGTATTCCTGAAGTGGGCAGTGATCCTTGTTTATTGCTGGCACTAAATGAGGGCCACAGGTGGGTGTTGGCACCTGAGAAAGGCTGGTCAGGCACTGCGGGGCCTCGGCTAGGAAAGGTCTAGGAAATGTTGGCCCTCTCAGCTAGCCTCACCTGCCCACCTGGCTGCAGGGCCACCGAGTGGGGACTCTCTTCTCCTGCCACCAGAGGTAGCTGTGCTGTCAGGACTGAGCTCCCAGGACAGTTATGGGGACCAGGGAGGTGCAGACCAGGGAGAAGGGCCCAGACAGATGGGGACCAGGGAGAAGCCTGACACTGCCACTGGTGGTGCTTAGGGACTTGCCTCTGGGGGCTGTGCATTGATGCCGTTAGCACAGAGTTCCCAGGCCAGGTTTTCCTACGTCTGTGCAGAGGGATCAGACTCATGTGCCTCCAAGCCCCCTTGGACCCACACACCCACTCACCTACCTACTCAAATAGTATCTGCTTTAGAATATACATTATATATTAGACATTCCCTCTTCAATACAATTGCCCTCTCATAGTTTCAGGTAAAATGAGTCATGGAAGGGAAGGCAGCCCTTGAATACACAGCTCTCAATGGGCAGCCTCAGGCTCCCTGAAGGGGAAGAAGGGAGAGTAGGGTCTCCTATCAACTTCTATCTCTCTCTGGGCTAAGTTTCATGCCACCTCAAAGCCCTGTTCTCACTGACAAAGAGTTGACAGGGGTCATAGGGTGGGACTATGTATTCTGAAGAACTTCCACGCATTATCTAGGACTCAGAGGGCACGTAAGTCTTCCCTGGGAAGCTGACGCCAACCACCTCATCACATCACAGCCAGAGAAAGGCCAGACTGGGATGAATGGGGGTGGAGGGGTTGGGAAGGACTGGAGAGGTGGGCAGGAGGGGGACTCCTCCAATTATTGCAGTCAGGTGTCCCAGAACACCAGGAATTCCTGGGAACCTTGCAGGAGCTAGGAGAGGCAGAGCAGAGCCTCTGCTGTGTTTTAAGGACATTCTAGCACATTCTATCTCTTGAAAACTGCCTGTGACTCTTCTCTATTTTTTGCATAAACTGTCTACCCTTTAAGGTAGGTCCGGGGATGGACAACTTAATGTAAGACAAGAATATCTTTTTTTCTTCAGTAAATTATGCTAGGGATTCCTCCAGTTTGTGGGGTTTGTTTCTTTTTGCAAGCCACATCTGAGAGGTCGGCTTCCTCTGCCCATTTCCCTAACTGTGGGATTGCCTGGCTGGACAATGTGCTTAGGGTAGGGACCCTGTTCTCGCTGCCGCTGTCCTTTGAGAGACCCACATGTTTATTTCATGGAAGACGGAGTTGGTTACTTCAGGAAGCTCTTTGTGGAGAACGTGGTAGGCACCTTCATAAATCTGGAATTAGGAGAGAGAGGAAATCAGGGCTATAGGAAGCTACAGGTACAGGGAGCAAGGCCACAGGCAGCAGCTGGAATTCCCCAGAATCTCCCCCTGTCCCAGGACTCCTGTCTTTATAGTACTAATGTCTTTTGATCAGATGATGGTTCAAAAAAATTAAAACATCCCAATATGTTCTAGCACTTCCTTTCTTAAGTCAACATATACTTTCTATTTATTCTGCTTCTCTCTCCAGCTGTGGATTGGTCTGTGCCTCCACCTCAAAACTGATTTCCATTTACTGTCTTCACTTACTTGCCTTCCACTTGGACCTCAGCTGATCCCAGTCTATTTTCACTCCCAGCAACCTACAGCCACTGTTCTCGGCAGGGGCTCCAATGACCTTCGGTTGCCCGTAGCCAGGGAACACTTGCCCTCATGTTATTTGTCTTCCCAACATCATTCAAAAGCTGTTAACCTTCCAGATACACTTTCCTCTTGTGGTTGCTTTCAGTTTCTTTCTCAAATTTTCGATGGACTCTCTAATAGGTACTCCTTGTGTCTCAAAATGGAACTCCTTGTGTCACCCATCTCAGGGTAGGTGTCATAGTCTCCTCACTGATGCAGGTCCAAGCTCAGGATGCATCTATAATCACTTGATCACTATAGTCACTCTTTCTCCAGGTCTCCCCAGGCTGTCCTCTGCCTTCACTGCCACCACCACAGGCCAAGCCCATCCTCTTGGCCTAGGTGACACCACCATTTTCTCCCCTGGTGTCCTTTCCCCCATTCTTATCTCCACATGGCAGCTGATGAGTACTTTGAGAATTAGAGTTGGAGCATATTTCTTTCCAGCTCAGAACACTCTGGTGGCTTTTTCATAGTACTAAGAGAAAAATTCCTCCTCTGCTTCCAGGTCCCTCTGTCACATAACATCCTCACCCTGTTCAGCACACTTCTACTGCACTGATCTCCTGGTTGTTTGCATACACCAATATTTTTGCAACTTGGGTCTTTGCAGTCGCCTTTCCCTTTGTCTGGAATGTTCTTCCATTGCTCTAGTCACTGTTAGCTCTTAGGCCTGCCTGCCTATCTGAAGTAGATACTTCACCTTTTGTCTGGTCCCCCAGTTCCTACATCCTGCTTAATTTCCTTCAGGACACTAACCCTCTTCATCCTGTTTGGTTATTTGTTTGTTGCTCATCTCCTAGGATGAACTGCTTGGGAGGGTTGAGACTTTGCCTGTCTTATTCTCTGGTGCTGGCACAAAGTCAATGTTCAGTGAACACTTGGATTGAATAAAGAAATGGATGAATGGAGAGTGAATGAGCAGATGAGACTCTGCATGGCCTTCTTTTGCAGGGCCACCAAAGTTCCATTCCAGCAAAGAAAATGATCTGTGTGGTGCCCGCACCCAAACTACAAAGTGCTTATGGCATTTATACTTTCCAGCATTACAAGAGCCAATCTTCCTTTTTCTCTTTATGTTCATCTAGGAGTCTATATCTTGTAGTTGGTATGGGCCAGGGTCTGCAATGCATAATGGTGTGAGGGGAGCACTTGAAAGTTTGCAAAGACATAAGAGTCTCTGTCAGTACAGTAGGGAATGGAGAGGGTTAGTGTACATGGGTCAGGGGGTGTGAGTTTGAATCTTGACCCTATTGCTCAGTAAGTGTGTGATCTGTAATGAGTTGCCTGCTATCTTTGTAACTTAGCAGGAAATGGCTCTGGACTCAGGGCTTCCATGCATCCACTGCACAGGCGGTAGTGGCATTGCTTGGAGACACTTCCATTCACTATTACACTGAGGCTGTGCTCTGCCCAACTGACCGCATATAGCTGCCTTCAGGGTCAACTGACAGGTACATAGTAGGTGCTTCTCTTCCTCCCATTACCCCAGCTGGAGCTATTTCCAGTTCAATCAGACAAATAAAAACAGGAACATTGGGACCTCTAAACCACATCTCTGAAGGCCCTCTAATTAGTCAACTGCAGTCTGTATGTCTGACAAGCCATGTGGCTAAGCCACAGGTCCCATCCCTTGTTGCAAATTCACTTGAAGACCAGATCCTGCCATGTCCCACTGCACCAGTACACCTAAAGCCCTTGGCAGTGGTGGCTGGTCCCAAGCTGCTGCAGCAAACCAGCCTGCAGGGAGGCCGGATGGCCGCAGGCCTTTGGACCTTGGACATGGAAAAGTGGGACACAAACTCTCGAAGACCTTTCTTTGCTCAGTTCCCTGTTGCAGGATTTTTGCTTTGACCAGAACATCTTCTGAGTGTTCTCTCTTTTTCCCTTTGAAGCTTGTTCATGTGAACAGTTAGCTAATGGCTTGTGTTCTTGCTTAGAATTAAAAACTGCCTTGTATTCCTGGTACTTACTTCCCAGCGCATTTCAAGATGCCTCTCATGGGAGTGGCCTTTGGGGTTCTGGGAAGATGTGCCCAAAAGGATACCACCTTCCCAACCTTGGGGAAGTGAGGGGGTTAGGTGTTCACCTTGAGTGTCTTGTCCTGGCTCTTGGCGGACTCCATGAGCAAGTAGGCCCCTTTGCTGTCGCACAGGCGGTCAGCAGAGCCCTGGAGCAGGAGGAAGGGCAAGGTCAGCTTGGGGAGGGCCCGCTCCACCCTTGAGACAGCATTGAGTAGCTGGATGCCAAAGCACACTTTCAGTCCTGCTCGGCAGATGAGGGGGTCTGTGTTATAAAGGTCGACCTGAGGGAAAAAAGAGAAAGGGTTCTGTCACTTCATGGATGGGGGAACTTTTATATTTTCTGTTAGCTGTTCCTTCTTCTCTATGAGTTCTCACCCAAGCATATGTTTATTGATTTTAGAGAGAGAAGGAAGAAATGGAGAGAGAGAGAATGTGATAGAAAAATATTGATCGGTTGCCTCTCATTTACGCCTCAGTAGAGGATTGAAACTGCAAAGAGGTATGTCCTGACAATGGATTGAAGCTGCAATACAGGTATGTGCTGTGACTGAGAATTCAACCTGCAATCTTTTTTTTTTTTTTTGGTGTATGAGACAACCCTCTAACCAACTGAGCCATCCAGCTAGGCTGTTAGCTCTTCCTTTTGCTTTGGCCTGAAGAGATGATTTTATTCAGTCAGCCCATTTGGGGTGCAGGTGCCAAGAGCTAGCAGAATGGCCAGCCCTTCCCTGACCCAGATCTACACTAGTTTTGATACATCTCTTCACAGGCTTTGTTCTATGCATTCCACATTCATACATTTTCTGTAGACAGTTTCAAGTGTTAATCCCTATATTTTTATATAGGCAGAGTTGTATTATTTACATAATATTTCACTAAGGAGTAGCTCTGAAGATATTTTGGTGTTAGTCATCTGAATTTTGCTTTTTATAAGCCTGCCTCCCCTTACTTAGTGTCCACCTGGCAGAAGTAGAGGAGGGGCACACACAAAGGTGTGGGGCTGGTTGGAGTTACTCCTGAGGCACTTTGGCAGGGCACTAACCTACAGGCTTCCAGAAGAGCAAAGTCCAGGGCAGGTCTGGTCTGTGGTGGGCTCTCGTGTTCATGTCCTCTGGGCTGTAGAAGGCTGCCTGTCATTCTGACAGCAATGCCTGCTGCTTCTTTAGCGGACATTCCCAGAGGCTGGGTCCTCCCTCTTTAGTCATCAAATTGCCCAGGACCTAACTCTGACACTCTCCCTGCTTATGGCTCAGAATCCAACCTAGCTCTTCATTGGGATACCCTGATGCCTTGTCTTTGTTCTCCCAGGCTTTACTCCTCCTGCCTCTAAGAGAACAGTGAGTTATCTGTTCACTGTGGCCCAAGATGGGGCATTGCCCCCACAAAATCTGGGTGAGAAGTATCTCAGGCCCATATAGATGGGTGTGAGGCCACAACCATCCCTTATCTCATTTCTCTGACCCTTGCCAGTGGGTTCTCAACTGGCTGGAGAAGTGCCACATGGTTTTAATATTGGGTAAGGGAGCAGAGGGGCCATGGGGACAAGGAACACAGGAACAGCTGGAAGGAAATGTGCTTCTAGCTGTCCTGTGTGAGACTTCCAGAGTGTCCACTGTGTTCCAATCTGAGTCTGCAAGGGCAGGGACTACACTGCTTTTATATTACCACCCCTATAGGACTTGGCTAGAATCTGGATTCATGCCAAAATGCAATAAGCTATTCTGGGTCATCCCTGCCATCCCTGATTTCTCTGATGCCAGGGACAGAGCAGGCAAATCAGACCTTTGTGGAAAGCCACAGGAGATGGTTTAGCTACTTCCTGCAGCTGAGCTGTTGTGAATCCTGCAGGGCCAGGCTATTTGCTTGGGGACTGAGAGGACAAGAGACTAACAGGGGAAGTGCAGGGGCAATACACAGCCATAGCAGTTGCTTGTCCAGGGGTTGCAATGAGTCCTATTTGGGAGCAGAGCCTGGGCTTGGAGTCTGTTGAGAACTGAGGCTAACAATGAGAACAATAGTATCTGCAGCACCACTGACTGGACACATACTTTGTACCTGGCACAGTGCCAGGGCATCATATGCAAGATCTCATTTAATGAAAATAAATAAAAAAATAGCTAATACATCTGAGCTCTTTCTTCCTATGTGCCTGTACTAAGTGTTTAACCTGATTAACCTGTCTGAGGAATGGCTCTTATTATCCTTGTTTTGTAAATGAGGAACCTGCCTATTATTCATTACCCAGTTCTTGTTCTCCCCTATAGAACCCCGAAAGTTTCATTTGGAACACAAGCATCTAGAGTAAAGACTATATTTCCCAGGCTCCCTTTCAGTTAGGTGTGGTCATGTGACCACATTCTGGCCAATGGGAAGTGAGCAGCAGTGCTGTGCACTGCCTTTTGTCAAATACTTGTCCTATTTATTTCCCTTCTCCCACCTATCAGAACACAGCGGAGTAGGGAGGCAGATGAGGCTACAGGGACAAGAGCTGTACTCCAGAAACAGCAAGCAACAAAATTCGTTGGGGCATGTGGGGCTGGTGACACTGAGAAGTCACTGTGCAGGGAAATAAGCTTCTACTCTGTTTAAGTCCCCATTGTTGAGGTCTGGGTCTTTGCAGGCTGGCAGCCCTGCTAACAGCACTCCATTCTATGCTGCTGGTCCATGGTTGCAGGGAATATGTTCTTAGGAGTGCACAGGGCCAGAGTGCAATAGACCACCACTTTCCTGAAATGGCCTGCCAGTTTACCCTGCTGACCCAAGACATCCTGGCTGCATGAGGCCCCTTGAGGAGTCTGTTCCAGGGTCTAACTGCTCTGCTGGCCCTATCGGCTTCCTGCTTTTGACTTCATTTTCCTTTTCCTGATCACGTAGTTACTGTTTACACAATGGCTGACTTTGGGCCTGGGGAAGGAATTGCCAGATATGTCGGAGAAAGGGCAGTCCCCTGATGTGAGCCGCAGCTGGGGCAAAAGGCACAGGACAGAGGAAAAGTGGGATTTGGAGTGAAAGGGAGGGCCACACCTTGTGAGGAAACAGACTTAGAAGGCCCAAACCCTCCTCTCAAGTAACCATTCTGGCCCTATCACAGTGGTCTTTGCTTACTTGAAAGTGGAAGGTGACAAAATAAGAGAAATGGAGAATAGAAATGTGGTTGTTAGGGGTGGGGCCGGGGGAAGTGGGCGTGCTATACAAGGGCAATATGAGGGATCTTTGTGGTGATAAGATATCCTTTGGTTTGACTGCATTCTGGTTATGATGTTGTCCTATAGTTTTGTAAAAGGCAGCATTGAGGAGAACTGGGTAAAAAGTCCATTGGATTCCTCTCTATTTTTCTCACAACTACATGTGAATCAGTATTACATCAAAACAAAAAGTTGAATTTAAAAACATATAGCAAAGACCCATCTTTGGCAATATCTCTTGTACCCACTTCACCCCATTTTTTTACTACAGTTGTTCCTGCTGGCTGAGAATGTGTTAGCTGGGAACATGTCAGTTGGAGGCTGTGGGTCCAGGTCCAAGTCACTACATCTTTGCTTCAGATAACTGACCTCTGGGAGTACCTCCACTGGCTGAGATTTGAAGTTTTATATCTTGAGGGGAGGGATCAACTGACAATATGAAGGATATCAGAAGAGTGAGGAGCACCCATCCCTGATACTTCCCAGCCACGATCTGGACGTGGCTCTTTTCTCCTAAACTCAGTTGGCTCATTTGTGAAATGGGAGTGATAGTAGAAATGTTTCAGAGGACTCTAGGGAGATTAAAAAAGATGATGTAGATGCAGTGTCAAGCCCCGTGTCTGGTCTCATAGTGAGGTTAATGATGTGTGCGGTGCATCTGAACCTGACACTGGGAACAAGAGGAGGAGAGCCACTCTACACTGGAGGCCTCTCTCCCTTATAGATCTTGAGTCACATAACCTTAGGTGAAGCCTTTTAGTCCTTCTGTGACCTTGAAGGTTCCTCTTGGGTTTTAAATTTCATAGGTTGTGAATAATTTCCTGGCCTCCTGTGTATATTTTAGCAATTGTCTAGTACCTTCACTGTTTTCTACGCCTCTGAGAGCTCCCAGCAAGATTGAACTTGCCAGCCAGGAACATGCCAGCTGGGCTTCTGATATTGAACACTATCTCTCTGTGGGAAAGAAACTGCCCTAAAGCAAAGTGAATATAGCTACAATCTACAGCTGGGAGTTGTCTTAACTTGGTTGAGCAAAATCTAGGCACCAACCCTACAGTCAAATCCCTTGACACATTTTTAAAAAGCTGTTCTGTGATGAAATGTAAAATTACATACTTAATTAAAGTAATATTTAAAATAACAAACACACTGAGCCCTTAATTATGTACCACATGTGGTGTCAAGCACTTGTATTTGCTTATCGAATCTTCATGGGAACTCATTGTAGGTACTACTGTTATTATAATCATTTTATACATTAGAAGAGTGTCTCAGAGAGGCTAAGTGATCCATCCAAGGTTACAACATAAAAGATGGAGCTAGGATAAAAACCTAGGCAGCTGGGCTCCACATTCAGCATTTTAAACCATTCATTATGCCATGCTACCTGTCTAGAGAAGAGAAGTAAAGGTGAGTCCTATGGACTCATAGATAGCCAGGAGCCATGGAGGTGGCACTCCTCAGAAAAGAAAGGAATGGGTCCTTGGTGAGGACCAGGAACATCTAGGCCTGACAGAGAGTGAAATGATTTAGTGGTTCCCACAGGTTGCCACCCTTCCAGAAGGGGTTGGGAGCACCCTTCTGGACACAGGCAGGTAAGTGCCCTCCTCACATGATATTGTTTACCACTTCACAAAAAATATAGCCTAGCAAGTCTAATCTCCCGCATTTTCCCTTCAGGTACCTACATGTATCCACAACTGGGTGTTCCTGATCCTCCTTCCCTCCAATACCCTTCCTTTTCCTATGGAAGCCTCACACTTCTACCTGTGCTTTGGACCCCATCCCAGGATTCCCATCTCCCTCCTCCACTGTTTAAATCTTTCTTAATCCACCTATTTTTATCACAGGGGAATCAGATAGCCTTCTCTGACATATTGGAGAGAGTGCACAAGTGATTCTACCCAAGTGATCTCTGTGAAATCTAGAAACTGTGGGGACCCTACAATAAATGGACATGTCTGCAGAGACAGTATCTTCATTTCCTACCTTTGTTTTTAATGGCAATTTGTTGTGGAAAGGCTTGGATGATTAAAAATTCTCTCCTATGAGATAGACAACCTGTGAGATACAGATTCAAAGCACTGGTAATCAGG